TCTCCAGAAGAACCAGGCTCAGTGTGAGCCTGGTTCTTCTGGAGACAGAAGCAGAGATGCTGAAGGAAACTGCTCTAACCTCTAGGCCATCACCTCCCCTTTAAATGATGGAGCGGCAACTTTTTCATCAAAATTATTCATTAACAGAAAAAAAAAAGTCCAGAGAACATGTAGAGTGGTGCCGAATGAAAAAGTTCGTTTTCCTGAAAAAAAGAAAAATGTAAATACGTTTTGAAACCTCGTAGAGGTCTAAGGATGGTGGTGAAACTGGCCGCTTGATACTAATTAGCCAAATATTTAGCTTGCAGCAGTAAATGAGGAGCTATTGCTGCAGGATTTGTTCTCAAACAATAACATTTAGTTGTAATACTTTCGTGATCATCTACAAATGGTCTGTGCATTAACTGGTTCTGCTGGAGGTTCTTATGCAATCAGCTGGTTTTCCTTAGATAGAAAACTGAATCCATTTGATTGGATGATCTGGTGAACTGGGAAGCGCCTTTAGAAGACAACTGTAGTGTGAATTTGCGCTATGGAAATAAATTAAATTGAACTGCATTGCTGGATGAAGGCAGACCTGATTCCAACATGCGAACATTTCTGCACTTTTTCTTTAAAAATGAACCTTTTATTTGTGTCCTTTAAGGTGTAAAAAAAGGTCTAAAGGTCATTTAGTTCTACCGTCATCATTATCACTGCAGACACATCCAAACCAAACGGGCAAGCTTCAACTTGCATGACAGGATCTGTTCCCAGCAGCTAGCTTCAGGTGGAAGACATTTCAACATTTCAGCACTATTCGTCTCACCGGCCTCCAAACCGAGACACTATTCAGATTTATCTCTCCAGTTCTGCTGCGCTCAGACTGTTCCTCTAAACAGGATCTTAATCTGGAGGCCTGCTTCTCCAGCAGGTGACTTTTAGGGACGACTGAAGAACCAGAAGGAAGAAGGCTTTTCTTTCTAAGGAACGTTTGAGTCTTTGGTTTCAGCTAATCAAGTTGACATATGGAAACATGGCAAAGCATCACATTCCACCATGACACCTTCTGTTCCTCGGATTCTCTTTGCTGTAAAAAGTCATGTTTAAAATGACTAGATAGATAAATAGTGATTTACAGATATTAGGTAGATATCAGGCAGAATTTAGCCTCATTTATATCAAAATTGGCATTTTATTTATGTTCTTAAGGCCTTTTTTCCCTATTTCTAATAAATCAGACATAAATGTTATAACGTTATCATCTTTTTCTGTTAAAATCCTCGGCCGTTCCTTCATCCCGTGTCTTCACTCAGGAAGCAGAACCAGAAAGTCCTGCCATCAGCTCCTTCACTTAGCACCCAGTTAATGGTTATCAGTGATGCTAATCTTTAACCACAAACTCAAAGGAAGCCGGACATCATCAGTGGGGGGGTAGGGGGTGGGGGGTTGCTTTGGGCGCAGGGGTCAAATTGCCCTTTTTGCTCTAGGGCCAAAAAAGTGCCAAGCCAACCAAATCTGTTAAGCACTGGATGGACGGGGGGGCGTCTACCGGAACATTCTGACATCTGCTGATGCATCGGAACCACTTCTGGATCCTGAACAGAACTTATTGAACAAATAATTCGATTTGTAAATTCTCTCTGACTGTACAGTCTCTAAAGCATATTCGGTCTTAACGTTAATATCCTGTTGAAGCATATTTTATGTTTTCATATGCAATAAATCATTGTTTGTGGAATTATTCCTCTTTGTTGAGTCTCTATTTGCCCTAAACCTGGATTTTCTTTTGTCTGGTTCTGCCTCGGAATGAGGCATCCGACTACCTGGACCATATCGGGTTCCTAACAACATGCTCCTTTTCCCAGACTCCTGTAATAAAATCAGGGCAGGCGGGGCCCAGCGTTCAGGATGTTACAGCGGAGGAGAGTAGCTGTATGGATCTGAGCCAGAGCTGTCAGCCGTCACACAGCGCAGCAGCATCGTGTCTTTATTTCACTCTGATTGTGCTTTTCCCATAGTTTGGCAGTGATGTATGAAAAAATCAATTACATCACAAAGTTAAAGGAGCTGCTGTGGCTTCATGAAGCCGTTAGAGTCCCGGTGTGGCAGCGAGGAAAAACCCCAACAGGTCAAACATGCTGATGGAAACCAGCCTGGGCCATTTCCCTCAACTTCTCCCTGTTTTACATCACTTTTGGTCATATTTACACAGAATCAGACCCAAACCTGCAAATGTAGGAAAACGCTTGAAAGGTTTTTAGAATTGAGCTGAAAATAAGACGACGCTTTATATAGAATGAAATCTCCCCTTGATTTGTTTTTTTTTTTTTTTTTACATATTCTATAGTGCAATGTTCATCAGAAAGGATGACAAGATAATGATTTTAAATAAACAGATCAACAGACCATAATCACTGATTTACAAAATGTTTTCAGCTCTTTTTAACGCTTTTTCAAAGTGACCGTAACAACAAACAGACGTATTCCAGGGAGGAAGAGAAAGTCTCTGAATCTATAGAATAATAGTTTCCTCTAAATGAACATTTTATGTGCAGAGGCTGTACAGCTGCTTTTATTCTGTATCTAACTTCAACTTAAAACCACTAATTTTCCTCTTTTTGCTGCTGTAAACACCAGAATTTACCCATCGTGGGACATTAAAGTGATTTCTATTTAATTCTATGGTGAAGATTCTCAGTCATCCAGGTCAAAGTCATTCCAAAAAGTTAAAAACAATCCACTGGACTTTGTTTCCAAGTTTGAAGACGTTTAGCTTCCCATCTAGGAAGCTTTTCAATTGAAAATGTCAGAAATAACATTGAGTTCCAGGTTTTATACAGCAGCCCAGCAAAGCCTTGCTTTGACTTAGTAAACATGCAAATTGACCCGAAACGTCTTCAAAATTAGACGTTTTTTTTTCCTTTTTGGAATGACTATGACCTGGATTCACCAGCGATAGAATAGAAAAGTATTTCCGAAAAGTTAAAAGTCCACTACACTTTGTTTCCAAGTTTGAAGACGTTTCAGGAGGACCCTTTAAATTAGCATGTTTCCTAAAACAAAGCAAGGCTTTGTTGGGCTGCAGCATAAAGCCTGGAACTAAACGCTATTTCTGACATTTTCAATTGAAAAAGCTTCCTGGATGGGAAGCAAAACATCTTCAAACTTGGAAACAAAGTCCAGCGGATTGATTTTTAACTTTTTGGAAATTCTATTCTATTCTTTTCTATTCTAAAAACACATTTAGATTAAATAAATATCATTTGAAAGAAATTTGCGGTCTGATAATTTCAGGTCACATTCATTCAGCAGTGTTCTTTTTCTCTTCTCCCCTCTGGCATTTTCTGCTTGTTGGGGGCAGGAAAGCACATGACAATATGTGGGTAAGAAAAGCAGGAAAGAATGGAGGGGGGGGCTTCTTGAGTAAGCAATCCATTCACACTATCATAAATCACAAGCGGCCAAACACGCATCTCCTCTCTTCTCTCTGAGCCATCAGGTCTCTGTCCTTTTCATCACAGTCACTCTCCTTCCACCAACACCTCCCTGTCCGAGGCTCTCTGCACACTGCAGGTAAAATGAGGAAGGAAGCAGAGGGAGCGCGAGGCGACGTGACGCGGCGCCCTTTTTGACTCCATCTCTGTTAGCTTTTCCATTCCAACTCACACACACACCCACACACACACACACACACGCGCGTTTGTGCCCAGGTCTGCAGCCCTTGGACACCTCTGAGAGCCGCAGACATCCTTCACATTTACAACGCAGATAATGACTGATGTGACCGTGGAGCGTGGGATGAGGGACACGTCGGAGACGCGGCGGAGGTTTACCTGCTCTCTGCCTGCTGGCTCCTCTCCTGCTGATTGGTCACCCGCGCCGGACGCAGCGTGTTCTGGACGCCGACGGGCAGCATCCACTGCACTTACGATGGGAAAACCAATCCTCGTTTATTTGGACGCAGCATTTTTTGTTCTTTTATTATTGATTTCCGCCAATTTGACCGTTTTTGCTTCTTTCGTTGATTTGCTTGAACAATATTAGCAGTTAGACTCGGTTTCCTGCTCTACCATCGACCATTGAAACTCACCCCTGACCTCTAATGAAATACTATAGTTATTATTTAGTTGCATTTCTTACTGTCTGTCTATAAAATAGATCTGCTATAGAAACCAGCAGCCCGCAGCCTGATCCGCGCCTCTTTTTACTTCCTTACCTTTAGAAAAAGGAAGATTTGGGAAAATTCAGACGCATGGCGCAGGGTCGCTCCCCACCCCCACCTATCTGCACATTCAAACCGTCCTTAACCAGAACTGCGACCAATGATTAACCCGTTTTTTATTCCTTTAGTCCTTATTGTAGAACAGTTCGGGGAGCAGAGCAAACCTTAGAGGACACTGTGAGGCATTGAAGGAAGAAGCGCGATCAGAAATCAGTGTTTTGTTTCTCTGATGCATGAAGCCAAAGCAGCTCTCCTCTATGATGCTGCTCTTCTGGTTCTCTGAATAATCCACCTAAACATGCCTCTACTAAAGCACCCAGAAGGACCAGAACCTCCTGGATTCGTCGGTATGACTCCTACTTTTCTCCACCTCGAATATTTGACGGTTTTATATTCCCTGACGTCTCGGAATGTTACCTTGTAGATTTTTATTCCTTTTGTGCTCAGTTGGCCGCTGGCGGCTCGGCAGCGTGGATTGATCCTGACCCAAGTGGAGGACTCCCAGTGTGCGAGAGAGGAAATAAGGGTTTTGAAGGGGTGGTGGAGGCGCTCCTCTGTGGTTAGGACGGTTCACGGCAACCTGCGTGTCCATCCTGCACACAGATCCCCACAAAGCTTTTGTTATCGCGATGAGAGGACTCAAAAAAGGAAAACATGCTCCGTATTCAGCTTCTCCACTCAGACAGGGAAATGTGACTTCTTCAGGTATCGGATGCCAAAACATTACAATGAAAACCGCAAATTGCATTAAATATGCAAGGAGGGATTGAGTGTGCCTCTGATTTCCGTTTGCACTTGTTAGTTTGGGCCTTTTACGAAGAATGGTGTCTGAGTGGCTTCCATTGCTTGGCGCTGACCGTGTCGCTTTAACTGTAGTTCATAGCAAATATTTGGAGATCAAATCAATCTTTAAGACGTGCACTTGGCTTTGAATTCATTCTGTCACTTTCTCTAATATCTGCCCACGCGTATAGACAGGCCCAGTGCCACGCGCGCACCCCCTCACACACCGACACAAAGAAATCCACTGAGAAGATCGGTCAACAAGGAGGAAGTAAATGAAGAGAAAAATCTCCAGCAAAGCGAAACGATTTGGTTTATTTTCGTTTAGATTTTAGGAAGAACAGCCGAGCAGTAATTTAACCCCCGGTCTGCTTTCCTCCTGGAGTTATTTCCGGCTCAAATGGCTCCAGCTTCCCGGCCTTTCCCAGACAGGGACCGATAACAGCGGCTTAACGCGGGGCTCCTCCTTCAGCTGCAGTTGCTCCGGTTTTACGAGCTTTGAGTCAGAATGTCGCTAAGATGATTATAAATTACCAAAGATGCTTTCTATTGATTTTTTTTTGCCGACTGGTGAGTCATTTCCGCGTAAAGGGGAGATAGGGAAGCGGCCGACTGGCGCGTGGAGCAAGAAACTCCATGTCTGCAAAATTGTAAGATAATAATAATAATAAAATTAATACATACTAGTACTAATAATAATAATAATAATGTTTGACTGTTTTAGTCTGTCCGGTTTTTAAGGGTTAGAGGGCTGCAGGTTTACGGCCGGAGCGGTGATGTGATTCTTTGTTTAATCTCTTAAAATAATCCTTATTATTATTATTATTATTATTATTATTATTATTATTATTATTATTATTATTAATTTTATAGGCAGTCAAAAACAGCAGAAGAGGTAAAATCTTCGTTTTCAGTCATTTTCATGATATTTTCTCGAGGTATTTTCAGTTTTACATTTTTTTAACACTTCAATAAAGAAAGTCTTGTTCGTTTGAAGTTGAGTAAATTTAACATAGTTTATCTGATGTATTTTCTTCTTTTTTCAAACTATTTTTTCCTTTTTCCTTGTCTTTTGCGCACATTAGTCAGACCTAACGCAGTGAGTAACTGTCTTGGATTTTTGGCATAGAGCTGCTGACATGTTCTAACCGAAAGAACTGCTCATTATACACAACAAAACCTGACTTTTACTCTCTTCTGTTGTCAGACGATTATTTATTTATACGGAGAAATTTAGATTTTAATAAATAACATATTAAACGTAAAAACTCAGCAAAAAAGTATTCAAGAATATGTCAATACTTTGCAGGGTGGGCAAAAAAAAAGACTAAAAATAAACCACTCAAGCCAACAATATGGCTGCCGGTCTAAACGGTTAGTGGAGCAATTCTCCGGATTTAAATGCCCTTCTTCAGCGCATCTACTCCTGTTTATCTGACCTTAAGCTTTAATATAAATATGTATAAAATCACAATCATAGGTAAAGTGACGACTAACTAATAAAGTAAACACGAATCAAAAGAAGGAGAAAAAAAAAACACACAATACTGCCTCCGGAGCTAAAAGCACAGGTTTAGCCTCCATCCACCAAAACATCTACTGAAATCTGTCACCTTTCACAAGAAGAACCAACAAAGACAGAAAAGATTTCAATAAATGATGCATCATTCGGTGAAGCACAAGCTGAAGAAGAGCGACCACATTGCGGATGTTGGAAACTATTTTTACTTCAGTTTCATAAACGATCTGGTGGCTGCAGTGATGCTTCGCTCCACCTGGGGAGACATTTTATGCCAACCTTACGGGCTTCATTGCATTTATAGGAAACTAAGAGCTTCAATTAAAACAAAGAGTGAGAGTTTGCAGGTGGATAACAAGCTGCCATCCATCCACCCATTCATCCATCCATAATATAATTCAATATGATGTATTAATATGTATTTTTTCCCAATTAAACGCATTGATCCAATGTTTTGTGTCCTTTTCTGTTCTTTCACTGCAAAAAAATCTCAATCTAAATAAGTCATTTTTTCTTCAAGTAAGTGCATTTTGTCTTGAATTGAGGAGGTAAGTGAGACACGTTGAGAATGGAAAAATACAATTTACATTTAAAATAAGAAAAAAAAAAAATGTAGCATTGTCTTACTTCAAGTGCTTATTATCTAATTATCTTATTTTAAGAGTAAAAATAATAAATCCTTTGGCAGATCATCTTATTTATCCACTCAAATTAGGGAGAAAATACACTTAATTTAAGATTTTTTTTATTTGTTTTTAGATGTTTTTGCACTGACTTTGCACCACCTGCTTCTGCACACCCACGCGCCACACACGCATCACGCGCTCCACGGTGAGTTATGAGGTTAGCCGATGAAATTATGTTTACTCCCGCCCCCATTTCGCTCTGCTAGCAGGCTAAAAATGGAACCAGATCACACATGTGCTGGATAGAAATATTTGCCAATAAACAGACAATAAAAGAAACAATGGGGGGGCGGGGGGGGGGGTCCTTTTTTTCACCTTTTCTATTATTATTTTACCCTCCGTGCATTTTTTTTATTTTATTTTTTGCAGTCTGACAAAAGGAGCTGAGCTACACCAAAGATACTGGATGTTGACACAAATAATAGTGAAAAGCTGCATCTCGGTCTGACAGGGAGTCACTATTAGTAACGGAAATAAAAATACAGAAATAATAAAAGAAAGTGAAATAAACTTTGAGAATACTCTGTTAAAATGGGTTGATACAGATATGAAGAAACCTTAATGTCCCCAGTTGGACAACAGCTCATTTTTACCTCACTTCACAGGTTTAGCTGAGCTTGTGCAGCAATATTAGCACAATTATCCTGCATGTTGGTGAGTTAAGCAGAGTTTCCTGGAGATTGCTGTCGTTTGCTTCTCTGTGCAGTAAATTTCAGCAGCTTCCTTTAATAGGTCACTGCAGTAATTTAAGAACCTAAGCTGATTAGGTAGGCGAGAGCAATGGAGGAAATGGGGAAGACCGAGAGTATTAATCAAGAGTGGGAAAAAATGGGGGGAAAGTATGTGAATGATTGGGGGGGGAGCAACACAGCAACAACTTAGCTGGAGCAGAGCGAAGGTAAGAGAGCTGCAGCGGTTCTTCCACCTCCGTCTGCTGTATCATCGCTCCATCGGCCGTCATTTCCCCCCCCCCAGCGCTGCTGGAACTGATGATTTATCGCGGGCTGCGCCATAAACAACAGCTCTCCTTCACAAAATCACAATGGCAGCCGCGGCCGCACGCTGACACCCTGCCTCACTATAAATCAGGAGAAGTAGCTGGCTGCAAGGGGGGAGGGAGGGGAGGGAGGGGGTGAGGGAGAGGGGGGAGGACTCCAGCGATAGAGAGATGTGGAGGCAAACGGGAGCTGATGGGAGAAAGATGGAGAAGAACATCCAAGATAGAAACAGCCATCGGCTAACTTCTCCCTCCCTTATTGCAGGCTGCTGTATCTCCTCCACCTATAAACAATGGCTGATGATGACGGGTGTGTGTGTGTGTGAGTGTGTGTGTGTGGGGGGGGGGGGGGGGCGTGATGTGTAAACAACACGACAGCCACATGCACCATGAGGAAACACGGCGAAAGATGAGGATTTGGGGGCATATTTACCAAGTTGTTAGAACAGCCCGTGATTCAGTGGGTGGGATGCGGGCGAAGGCGGCGCGGCGCACAGGAAGAAGAAGAAGAAGAAGAAGTGGGCTCTCCCCCCATGCAGTCCCTGTTCCTTCCGCAGTACTCCCGGTGTCCACAGCGACCCGCAAGACGCACACCCGTCCAAATTTGTTTGATTGCAGCCTCCTTCTCACTTTTCTCCTGCTCTCTCTCTCTCTGTTGGCGTTTCCCGGTGTCTTCTCTTCTTCCCCCTCTCTCTCTCTTTCTCTCTCTCTCTCTTCATCCCCCCCCCCCTCCTCCGCTGCCGAGGGGGGGCTCTATATTTTTTTTAAAGGACAGTTGAATTTTCCACGTCAGGCACACACGCACACTTGGAGCAAAGCGACATCCTGTCCGTTATATTCCCAGCGAATCCATATCGCTTCTGCAACCTCTGCATTAATTATTTAATGAAGCACATGACGTGGTGGCCATGACGGGGGTCTGGGGGGGTGGGGGGGTGCAACCATGAGTCTTTCCGTGCACTGGGACCCACCCGCATACATGCACACAGTTTGGGACAAAAATGAAATGGAAAAAAAAAGAGAAAACAAAGGCAGAGCTCTGTGCTCACCTCCGGCTTTTAGATTTAAACTGTGAGATAAATTTGGCAAATAAAAATTATAATAATTTTATAAAACGATCACCACCAGTGAGTTTTTTCGTTAGTAAAATGGTCGCTTGCATCACAATCATCTCTGTCTGCAAAATAATTCAATTTTTATTCAGTAGTTTTATCTTCCCTTGATTTGAGCAGGTAAATATGACTGATTTACTAATTAAAATAACGGCTATTTCAAATGCACAGTACCTAACTATTTTACTTTAAGGAAACAAATATTTAATTCGACAACACATACGTTTTTATTTGCCAAATTAAGGGTAAATAAAGTTATTTAAAATGTATTTTTAGACCAGTGCATATTTTCCGTCGCTCTGCATTTAAATGATTCCTTCTGAACCCGATTTCTTTATAAAAATGATTCTAGTTAAAGGAAATTATAGGCAACTATTTACTTGACACAGCGGCAATAATTTAGCTGTTTTTTTCCGATGTCAATTTAAGCAAAACTGAATAATAAAAATAACAATAATAAAAATCCCGAGATATGAAAATAAACAAAATAAAATAAAATGTCGAAGTAGGTAAAACGGAGGCTTTCAGATTTTTACCATTCGAGGTGGAAAGAAGAAAATATCATAAACTCATTTTCAGAATGACTAAAAAGCAGCTTTTAAATGTCATTTATTTCCTTTAGTCTATTGACAGAAATAAATCAAAGTCTTTTGTTTGAAGTAAAATCTCCCACAAAATCGCTTTCTGCTAAGAATGATTTCTACAGATATAGAGGTGTGTTTATGTGGGTGAGGGAAATTTGGTAAAGAAAAAAAAGAAACAGCAGCTGAGTATGAAATAAAGTGAAACAAAGACAGTATGTCAGATTAACAGAGAGAGAGAAGGACA